TTCCCTGTATTATTTTTTCCGGTTACACGATGCATCAAACTGTATCAAATGATTTGTCCACTTAATCAGCCAGAGTTCATGCGCGCGGCTTTGCGGAGATCAGAAAAACTCGTCCCATAACCTCGAGCAACTAATAATTAAGTTGCTCAGGGTAGTTTATTCAAAACTCAACAGAAACGAAATGGAAGAGCTACTAAAGCCACATTAGAAGCATTCAATTAAATCCCCTGTTTGCAGTGCAGTGGCTTTAACTCATCATACAGGGCCAGTCCAAGGCTTTATGAGGCCTTTAGTAGAATTTGATTTTGGGACCCCTCTTGCTGCTAAAACATCAGCACCTCTAAGTTTCTGTGTTAGATTTAGTGAAATCTGGAAGAGTAGTTTAATTGGCCAACCTAAAAAACAACCAGTTATAATTGCAGTTTACTAATTTGTATTTGTATTTGTGAACAGAGCTCAAACTAAAAGATTAAACTCACAGCATCAGAGTATAGCTATGTTAACAAAACAATCTAACTATGAATATTGTTCTTTGAACTTATACAAAGTAAACATGACTGCTCCTTAAAATCTTACATTTAAATGTTAATTTAAAATATTTTAATGTATGTATGCTGAAACCATTATATCAAATTTAGCAGCATTGATAATCTCAAACACATTTTTCATTTGTACCTGTGGTCTGTGTTAAAATATTAGCCCTGGGGCCCTGAAGCCCTGGGCTAAGCCCTGATGGAGCCGCTGACTTAATTTGGATTAAACAGAAGTGCAAATAATTCATATTCATTTTAATTGTATTTTTTGATTTGATGTTTTTAAGACAAGTTGTGGGTTTAGATAGCATTTCACTTGTGATGTTTTCCAGTAACATACAAGTACCCCATAATGTTTTTACTTTTCCTGTCTACTTAACATCTGTTAATATGAAAACACGATGGATCACGTCCACCGGCCTTAAGTTTTCTGGTGGAAACCCTGCTGTGATACGACGATACTTTGAGGCAGGCATGTCACTCAACGCTTTTGGAGGTATGGCTCAGCTGTTCCAATAACTTAAGTTACTGTTCTTATAATTTGTTTGATGTGAACAAACTAGTTTTAATCTGTCAGTATGCAATGCTTATGTAGTCCTTAATCATCTTCATACATTGAGTTCAATTTTAATTCTCCAGGATTTTGCAGAGATTGAAGGAAATTCACTGCAGCAAAGTTAACCAGCCACCAACCTTATACTGGAGGCGATGCCTCCGACCCTTCAGGTGCATTTCCTTTGCGTTGGGATCGTTGAAGCTACATTCACACAGCTTGCAGTGAAAGCGAATGACTTTGCCTTCATCATTTCTGACCTGCAAGAAAATGTTCACAAAATCCACTCTGAGCCAACGTAGATATAAACCAAAAGCATAGGTTGATTATGCATAAGCATTTGTTTATAAACACCTACTTCTTCCACATAGTCATGACCAACAGGCTGGACGTCACTCTGCAAAGCAATAAGTGCCGATGTGGACAGAGAATCACAGAGGTCAGCCTTAGCATCTGGGGAAGCAGGAGAGGGCGCGACCGGCTTACAAGTATCGCCTTTGACTTCTTCTCTTATCTCCTCTATCTTTCCTGTCGTCTGTAATTTACTTCCAGCTGAAATTGACAAAACATCAAATATGAAACTGAACATCCAAACCTGAATCCAATGCAAAATCATAAGAAATATTTTCAAAATGTATTTAATTACACTTCTTTATATTAGTTGTGTTTATATCAAGTTTTTGTTGGAAATGGAATCTCCATAAATTATTATGAATTTACTGAAATGGTACACATATTGGGAAGCAGGACATTTTGAACCAGCTCAGTTAGACCTTTTCTGGATTATCGCAGATAATTAGGAGGCAGGACAAGTGTACATTAGGGCTGAAACGATTCCTCGAATGATTCGAGTACCTCGATTATTAAAATTCGTTTTTGACAGACTTTTCACAAAAAAATGCTGCCATTCGTACATATCACACTGTACAAAAATTATTTCTGCATCAAAACATAGCCACAGATGTCTGCTTCAAAGAAATATTAGTTATTGTTTTACAGGTTTTTTTCACACCCTGACCACAGGCATGTCACCACTTCATTGGGCTCCATATAGAATATTTTCAGCTTTGTCTCTCTCCTCATCTTCTAGTGTGTTCATACAACGGATTCAAATTCACACAGCTTTTTTTGCAAGGTACAGCAACTTTTCTAGTTTTATATTGTTTTACATCTAACTTTTCTACACAAACATTGTTTTAAAGGACATGGAATCTATATTCATTGATTCTCCTGTAGTGTAAATATTTTATAATTAAAGGCAAAATGAAGAAAGTTTACTAACCAACAAAATTAATCTTCGGGGTGTTGACTTTCTTGCCAGGTGCCGCAGAACAAGCAACAGAGAGACTGCTGGCCAGTGGATTCTTGGTAACCACAGTGCTGCTGGTTATGTTGACAGCTTTCAGATAGGGGGCGCTAGTGCTGGAGGAAGAGTTGGAAGACGGACACAAAGAGCTGGAAGTGCTGGAACTGCTAAGAGAGGTCTTGCCAGTAGCAGAAGCACTAGAGGCTGATGTCTGAGCGATCATACTGGGCTCTGTGGAAGGAATGGGCTTTCCAAGTTTGGTATGAAGTTTCACAACCTGCAAGAAGAATTCAGCATTTGAAATGAGAAATGAAAGTCTGTGTGAAACCTTCTCCAAGTTCCAAGTAGACAGAGTGTTGGTTTATGTCCCGACATCCAAACCTTCTGGTGCTTGGCTCCTCGAATATGGGCAGCATAAGCGTCAGCTCCGGTGCACGAAACATCACAAAGTTCACAGCGAAGTTGGTTCTGAGTGTTCCGGGACAGCACCCCTCCTGCAGCACTGCTGCTGCTGCCCTGCGACACTTTCAGTGCTGCTTCCTTCTTCTTATGCTTCTGGCCTTCCAAATGCTCTTTATAAGTCTAATGGTAGGACGGAGAAAATGACAGGGAATTTATTTATTTTTTTGTATCGGCATATTGACAACACTGTTAACTACGTGTGTGCACTTATTGTTAAAGGTTTTTAGTGTGACCAGAGATTTGAGCCATCAATGTATCGATAAATTTCAACTAATGTTAATAACAAAACTCACAGCATCATCAAAAATTTTATTTTTACTACTTTCTCCACAGTTTATTCCTTCGGAGCATCCACGTGTAAATCCCACAAGGGATATACACGTGGACAAAATTATCGGTACCCCTCGGTTAATGAAAGAAAAACCTATAGTGGTCACACAAATAACTTGAATCTGACAAAGGTAATAATAAGGCCAGTCACGATAAATTTTGCTGAGCGATTAATTGTCTAAAAAATTATTGCTGCGATAAATATTGTTTCAAGACCTTTTGACACTGATTTAATGGAAATGACGTAATAATGCATGCAATTTCCTGCCATAGATAGATACATTTTATTTTCAAAAGAACACATAACACTGGAACTGACAAATAAACAAAACCAAAAACAAAAATAAAATTAAAACGGATTCTCAGTCTCCATTAACAAAAAACGTACTTGAATAAAAACTGAACAACATGAAGCCAAAGTGGAAATAAATACTCCATTCAACCAAGAGTGCAGATTATGAAGTCTGTATACTATATTGCCCTTCAGTAATCACTAGATAGAGAAGATGGGCACATCCGACTACCTGACACAATAGTTCATACTACATGGGTTTTTTTTACCCCTATTTTCTTAGAACGTTGGCTGTTCTAAGATTGTCGCTGGTGATTTCGTAACCGATCATCATGTAGTGTGATTTAGATCCTCGGGTTTTCCTCGACTGGGAGTTTAGCAGCCTGTTGAATGGTAGCCAATCAGAAAGCGCAGATTCTCCTCTGTGCTTTCTGAGGGGAAATTACGGAGGGGAATCCCAAACAGCTGAAACGGCGCAACCCGAAGTCCAGCGGACATCGGAGATGATATGTGGAAACAACATTAATATTTATTTATTTCGTGCAAAGAATATAGAAATGACAAGGGGAGGAGTTGGAGCCAAATTGCTACAGCAGTTGATAAACCCGTAAGTTTTCAGCTGTTCTTCGTTAACGT